AATGGAAAAAACGCGCGAAGGCGTACGGAGGGACAGTTCTCTAGACACAGTGCAGTAGCTATAAATTATCACCGCTAATGGTGCCCAACAAATGCTTGTCCGTACCTAAGCTCGTAATGTCGGTTCGCGCCAGTCTAATATCGTCCGTAACGTTTAATAAATATGTCGCGGAGGCAATATGTCATAACTTTTCTACGTGTGTGCGCGAGAGCGTATGCATGTTGTTACTCGGGCAACGTGACGTTGCGGAGTTACATAATGCTCAACTCGGCCGCTTAATCGCTACACAATGTTGCCGACTATCTGCCGCTTCCCTCTGCCTCTCTTTGACGCACTCTCTACGCATACTGATAAAACTGACGCACGCGACGAATACGTAATTTCACTACAAACGCCCGCGCGTCATACATTTTCATTAGTGCAAACAGCTCTTCTTGATTAGAATCTTGGTGCAGATTGCTCATTCACAGTCCCAATAACGAACGATCGAGCCAATTAAGGCTTTCCGCAATTGAAACGATTAATTTTGCTCTGCAATATTTTTGCATTTCTACAATTGCTTTTCAATAAAAATACTTTTCCAATAATGTACATCTAATCGCCATTTATTTTTGTCCGAATCGTGTTGCCGTAGATTGCCGTAGACCGTCAAGAATGTTTCCCCAATGATGGAGGCAGTAGGTAAAGGCATTGTGGTCAGGTCGCAGTCAGGGTGGCAGGTGCTATCCGTAATGGCCGCCCATCGAGGCAGACGAGAAGAACGGTGGGCAAGTTTACCGGTGCAAAAAATGCTACGTGAGTTATGGGTGTGGAGCACTGTCGGCGGTATTAACGGAGCCGATTACGTCGTTGTGTATTAATTGAATATAGACGCGTTTAATCTACTCGGCAAATGGCGTACGTTGGCGCTACGTGAGACGAAAGAAGAGTAAAAAATTAAAAAAAAAGGAAACAAATGTGCCTCGAGTGTTTTTCGTGTTGCTGTCAGTGCGACGAGCCGACCGCGCGAGGAGCGCCCCATAAGTCACAGTTGAAATGAAGTTCGCCACATGATTTTTCCGAGAATAAAACCGCTTTGGTGAGTAATATCTTTATCCATAACCGACAAGCAAGAATCGTGCAAAATGTGCGCAAAAACGTGTCTCAATTCAATTATTTTACCGTGTACCTATCATCTTTCCTCACGGCCACAACTAGACGTAGCCTTTGTCCGGCGGTATAGTCGTTCCGATCGCCGAGCAACTAAACACGTTCTTCATACCTACGAAGCATGGCTGACCCAAAGTATGTATTATCCCAACCTAGAGCACGCAACACACACTCACACATAGGCACACAGGCATGCACTCACACAACAAAATGTGCTAGTATATATCAATATATTCAGCCTACGTGTAAATAAGTATTTCGTCAATGCCGCATTTTTGTACACCGATTGCTAAATATCTACGACTGTACTATTTAAATGGCAAGTGGTTGCGATTTTCGCCAAACCTTTGAAAAGAAGAAACGTACAAAAGCGCTCGCAGTAAGCGTTTGAAGACATTTTTGTAACATGCGCATTTTAAGTAAATGTAAGATTTAGTGGATATAAAATGGCGCAGATAAAATGGATTGTCGTAATAATTTTCATCGTATATTACGGATGCAGATTTCTTAAGTGATATTCCCCGAATAAATCCGATGACAATATGCAGAGAGAGAGGGAGAGAGAGAGAGAGGGAGAGGGGGGGAGAGGAAGAGGATTTAATACCAGCTACAAATAACTTTCGCGATATGGGATTTGCAAAATTGCAAGATAGCGCACGACTATTGTCAGTATATAGAGCTAAGCCAGCACACAAATTGTACATGCGAACGGCTCGTCCATCAAATTGAGAGTTCTGGCAGGTAGCAGCTACACTGGTGGCGGAACGATCAGAGCCTCTCAACGCCTCGCGCGTTACGCTTACGCTCACGTATCTACGCTCATTTTCTTCATCATAATTCGTGGACGCAAAGAACCCGTGACGAAGAGCTCGTGTAACTTCTTAAGAAGCTTACGACTGATAGAATACACCTTGGAAACTTCGTCTCTTCGTTATGTAATATCTCGACAAAATAATCAAATGTATTGTAGATAAAGCTACAATTAAATCAATGACGTTTCTCCCGACAATAAGTTGAATTGTAAAAATCACGGGTTATAATTATAGAAATATATAATTTCGCACATACAAGTAAAATATACGAGTTGCCTCGAATAGGACAAGCGAGGCTAGCATGAGAAATAGACAAGGCAGTGTTTTATATTGTATAATTATTTTATTACTTAGAAAAAGCTTAACAGGACCTAAATAATAATAATAATAATAACAAGCTCGCTGAAGTCCTTCGAGAAGCACCATGCGGGTTAAAATTACTAGTTACGAGAGGAAGAAGCGAGACTTGGGACAGGACGCGAGCGATACGATCGATCAAAGATTACACCTTAAGTCAGCCGCTATGTGCAGCGCGAACAGCGTGATTGGTCGCGAAGCGACGCTTATATTAAAATGCGAAAGGTACGCGAGATGTACATACATATGTACATACATACGTACTGTACCTGTATATACGCATCTCTTAGTTGATGACGCCGTGATTGGGCTTCGAACTAGTCTACCTCGCTGGATATAACATTAATTTCTCGACTGGCCGACTCACGATGGTATTACGCCGCGAGGATTATGAAAATTGTTGTGCTTTTTCTAATCTCATGACGCTATGTTCTCTTTTTGCTATAGTGCTTAATGACACATAATTTTCTAATGCCACTAGTTTTGCCAAGAGAACGTAACATATTGTAAAATCAAACGTAAGTTAAACGCCATGATAAGTCCGATTATTGTGTGAAGAAAATGCACAAATTCATAGAGGAAAATATCAATGCTACTTGTAAGCGTATATTTCCAGTGACATCAAATAATAATCGCGTAGAAGAATGATAGGTTCTATTAATTATCGTCTGTTTACTTGGAATTTAAATTTATGTATGTATCTTACTTCCCTTAGATATACTCTTGATTAATTCTCCAAGTTCTAAGTGGCGCAAATTATTGACGAATTTCCGATATATAATTTGTAGAAAATAGTGAATAGAACACAAGAATAAATAAGACACAGGAGTTTTTAAATAGTGTGACTATATATAAAACATACTAGATATTTTTTTTATATTTGTTTCTTATAAAAATGTTTGGATATTTCCAATAACATCAAATAATAATCGCGAAGAAGAATGGCGGGTTCTATTAATTATAGTCAGTTTACTTGGAATTTATACTTATCTATGTATCTTACTTCTTGGATATATTCTTGATTCATTTTCCAAATTCTAAGTGGCGCAAATTATTGATAAATTTCCGACATATAATTTATAGAAAAGAGTGAATAGAAAACAAGAATAAATAAGACATAGAAGTCTTTAAATAGTGACTATATATAAAACATACTAGATATTTTTTTTATATTTGTTTCTTATAAAAATGTTTGGATATTTCCAATGACATCAAATAATAATCGCGAAGAAGAATGGCGGGTTATATTAATTATAGTCAGTTTACTTGGAATTTATATTTATGTATGTACTTTACTTCTCTTGGATATACTCTTGATTCATTTTCCAAATTCTAAGTGGCGCAAATTATTGATAAATTTCCGACATATAATTTATAGAAAAGAGTGAATAGAAAATAAGAATAAATAAGACACAGGAGTCTTTAAATAGTGACTATATATGACATACTAGATATTTTCTTTTATATTTGTTTCTTATAAAAATGTTTGGTTATTTAAAACTATATATATATATATATATATATATATATATATATATATATATATATATGCATGACATAGCGATAATAGACCTTTCTCTAAAAATATTCTATTAGTTCCTGTTTTCACTCCTACGTACTTTTCTTCGCCGAAGAATGCATATTGCAATTAAAGAGCTCGTATTTTTTTTGAGACACCAATGTTTTTCGACCGAACAGTACGAAGGAACAGAGGGCGTGGAGAAGGGAAAGGGCGTAGTAAGTCATACGGAGAGGCTCGTACGTCATGCTTCATCCGGGCCAACGAAGCAACACATAGAAAGAACTCTCTACGGAGCTCCATGTATGAAGAATGCACCCACTTGGACTGCTTCTTTAGATCGCGACGCTATAGTGTGAGTGTGCATGCTATGCGTGCCTGTATCTTTCGTATATTTTTGTATGTTGAGGAGACCCGGTGACCGATGTGCAACATGCATACTTGTAGTCGACGGATATCTACCGCATAATCCTTTCGATTTTTTCATAAAATGGCAAAACTTGATTTTAAGATATTCATTGACAAATCCCATATTTTTACGAAAAGTGTATTCGCGCACGTTAAACTCGCGCACGTTAAGCTCGCGCGCGTAAATTATTGTTTTGGTTGCTGGACCTTTGGATCCGAATTAATTGTGTAGCTCTTGCGGAATTCTCGTCTGTACTTGCGCTTCGATAATATAAGAAAGTGTAAGTGTAAGTGAAAATCAGAGCTGGTCTATTTATAGCTGATATATTTATAGTCAGCGAATGAGTTTTTCTTCGCTAGACTTTCCTGATTAATTCTGACGACCGTTTATATAGGTATAAACGTGTTCTCCTACTATAATCAGTGCCTGGCAAATAAATATAAGACTGCACCATGAGAACAAAGAAGACTTAACTGGTTTCAATGGTTATTACACTGAATATTTGAGAAGTTCGTTCGCAGATTATTTTCTTAACAGATAAATATAACTTTTTACACTCGCCATAATAATTAATATTTCTAAACCATATGCACTTTCAACTACACAGAAAATATGAATGAATGACTTAGATGAGATATTCTGGTAGAAATAATTTTAATATAAATATTAGATGTATATATCAAAAAATTCATAATGTTAAGATTATTTTAACATTGTGGATAAAGCTCATATTATACGTTGTATTGTCTTTGTTCCAGAACTTAACAAATGTTCCACAAGGAATGAAAAAATAGGGAAAGAAAGACCATTTATTGGCAAAGGGAATTATTCTGTTATTTGGCTGAATGACAACGCTGGACCTCATACTGTTGAATCGACAAAAAGACGGTAATGAGTGTTGGTTGAAATTTTTTTGTTTATTTAGTTTATCACCACATCTAACATTTTCAGATTATTACTTGTTTTGATCGATATTAGTATATATCAGAGGATACATGCTTTTACGAAACTTTTACGTACAGTGAATAAAATCCGAATCATCAGTCATCTGTTTCTTGATTATTTAATTACTTCTTTTCTTCTGTTAAGTTTTTGACATAAGAAAATTCGTATCCTGTCCAAAAGGACGCGTAAGAATGTAAAAAGTAACAGAGAATAATTTTATGTTTGAACATGTATTTAACTTCTTGGAAAAAAATTCGAATTTTATGTATAAAGAAAAATAAAAAACTTTTTGCATATGCATAACTTTCCGTTAAAATGTTCACAAAAATAAATTACATTTTATTTACATTCAGTAAATACGTGTATGTGTCCGGTTTTGTAAATAATAATGATATTAATAAATTATAACTATTATGTTTGACAGAACTTTCTGTGTGTTCCTACTCGTATAAAGGAATTCTCACGGCATACTAAGATCGGACCTGATCTTCGTCGATACGAAAGCAGAGCTCTGTATTACCGACAAGCCTCGTAAACGGCCATAGCAGCAAGCGAGGGACTCACAAGAAGGAGGGGTAAACGAGCTAAGCCACGATTTCGTCGTCGTAAACGTCAAAGTTACGGTTACAGCGTTGTTCCTAGCTGCTTTATATTGAACGAGGTTGCTCCCCGAGGTACGTAACACCTACTCGCAACCGTCGTACTGTAGAAAGTAGCACTATACTCATTTCCAACTCGAGAACGACGCGTGCACCACGTGGCTTTTACGCGGGAATCCAGTGGAGTTCAAGGTCCGTTGAGTGTCGCTTTTGCCGTGTTACGAGTAACTGAATAAAATACTCAGCTAGTATCTTTTTCTGTCTTTCTTTCTGATTACTTCGACAATGATTCTATTGTCATTTAAGGAAGTAAAATTGAAATACAAAAATTATTATTGGCTCCTTCATTTTTTTTTTTAGAGAAAACTACCATACTTCTTTATTTGCGAATATGTATAAAATATTTATAAATTAAGTGAGAGAAGAGCGGCAACTGAAAGTTAGTCGCGAGGGGAGGAGGTTGTTAATGCGAATATTAAACTTTTAAAATTCATAAATTAAATTTCCGTTACATTTATATTTCTTTTTAATATGTTAAAAGGAAAAAATGAAAATCCTAAGAATACAAATCGCAAAACTATCGGTGCAGTACGTCCATTAGACATATTTAGCTTTATTAATATTTCTGTGTCAATTTATCGCAGACCTTTTAATGAAGCTTTAGGACCATTTTCAGATCTTTACGGCAAAAAAGACTCGCTCTCAATGGCTTCGAATGAAGAGGTGTCTAGATAGCACCCCAGTCTCTATCACTCGCGCCCTCTAATTACCCTATAGACGTAGCGAACCCCTCAATGAGGAGTCATAAATACTGTTCGCGTTTAGGGATACTTCGAGAGAAAGTGAATCAGTTCTATAAAGAAAGATATATCTATTCATGGCAATTGCTGAATTTTACAGACTATTTATTGATAAAGGTATATGAGATTCTTTAGCTCAAATTTATACTAATCTTATGTGTATTGAGTAAGAAAACAAGATTTTTTATGATATAACATAAGAGTAAATAGTAGCTTTTTAATAATATATCTATTTAAAAGAATGTGTAACAAATTAAACATTTACTTATTGCATTAAATGGTAAACGAATGCTAATAAGTATTCATGGCTTCATATTTATAGTCGTAAATTATTATTTACGATAAAATAATCTTGTACCAATAAATTTTCTTACGCGTGTTTCCATATGGTTTGAATCTCGGTTGTACAGACAACGTCAAAGATATTGCCGGAGAATGCGAAATGAGTCAATGACTTTCAGTCCATGAGTGCGTAGAACCTGCTTTATCAGTATACGCTCAATCAATTACCTATTTCTATTCCTACAATTCCTGCTACAAACACACTGTATTCCCAAACTGTATCGCCAAATCAATTTATAGTTCATAATTAATGATCCAAAACATGTAATTAGTCAAATAAACTATATAATGTGAACCATTTCTTCCAGATTAAATCGGATGATGTTGCATATAGTTGAAAAAGCGTATGTATATTAAATTACAATCTAAATAATAATAATGCATACAACTAATTATTGCATGCATAAATTATGATTTTTTTTATAGAGAACAACTGCTGTGCAAAGCAACAGAATTTATCCAATTGTACTTAGTGCCTACTGAGATGATTCCTTCCTTTGTATGCATAAAGACACAGAAGATCTCTTGTGGTAGGAAATGAAGAGAAAATAAAATAGGCGGACCCTAAACCGGATCGAAGAGTGCAAGAAGGAGATTCCCGCTAGGAAAGATGAAGGAAGAACCAGAGGTAACTAGGAGCAAAAAAAGGACAGAGATAGTAAAAAGAACTACTAGCTAGGGATCTAGGATCTCAGCTGAGCTAGTAAAAGAAACATGCTTACCGAAAATGTGATAGAACCCGTGAGGCCTCGATGATTACATATATCTGCCAACGGCAAAGCAGAAGGCCATTCGGGAATATCCCTCTCGCAATGAGCAGGACAAAGACATCGCTAGAAACAGCTGACTACCGGAATTCGGGGTTCCGGAGGGGTGAGTACAGTGAGGAAGGCACTTGAACCTCCAATTGGACGAGGGCTTCCCCATTATACCCGGCGTACCCAACGATTTTACACGCACTTGACTCCATTCTACCTATCTACCAGACATAATTTTGTCGAGGTACACGGCCGATTTTCCGCGACATAGCGCGCGCGCATTAACATTGTACACGTGAAAATGAAAAACTCATGAGGGGATTTACGTTTCGCGCAGAACCGCGATGTAAGATTCACAATTTACAAGGGCGTACTGAAAACGGACTCCAAAAATGTCGTTCGCTACTTTTAAAGCAGAAGTAACAATCAACCTTTCTTCTCTCTCTCTCCCTCTCCCTCTCTTTCTCTCTCTCTCTCTCTTTCTTTTTTGTGTGTGTGAGACAAATTTCAAATTACACATACATATTAATCGTAACGACGGTAATTCAACACGTCATTTTGGATGTCATTTTTAAGTGTCAACATTATTGTCAACTTTTTTTTCACGTCCATTCGACCAAAAGCAATGGAACTTTTAGTTTCTCAACGACTATAAATCTGTTGTCTCGGGTTTTGTGATGGATACGTCGTATTTCAAAACGGTGTACAAATAGACTCCGTGAATATTCCATCGGTTTCGACACAGTACAATGAAAAGCTACATTCAACGAGTAGGATCTATACCTTCCGTTACTTTTTCTCTCTTTTTTTTTTAGGCAAGGTAACGGTGAAATAACTCATCTTGTTTACACGGGCGCGATAGAAAATTTTCCATTCGTTCGAATTTATTCACGAGGTATACGAAACGTTCTCGGTCTATAATCTCGTTCCGCACAACTTCTAGGTAATTTGATCGCGTGGAAGCAATTTTAACAATTTAGTCCGGTAGAACCAGACAGGCAAGCCTGATCCACCACGCCTTCCCGACCACGTGGTCCTCACTCGCTCTCCCCTAACTACGGCGGCTCCTATATTTCATCGCGGCTGTTACGATAATAGTCGTATGAGAGAGCATTTATGAATGCAAACTCACCTGCTATAGCCATCCAGGGGTAGAAGGTATGGTTGGCGGTAGGTTGCTGATGCAGTTGCGTGGCGACCGGTTGACTCGCGGACGAGTTCAAACTGCAGGTGTTCCAGGACGACGTAAGGGATCTTGACGAACTGTTGTTACCCGGACTCGATGCCGGATCGCCGCCTACGAGACCACCGTAGCTACCGACCCTTGTACTTTCTGGAGTACACGCGGAGGGACGTACGACCGAGTTACTCTGGCTGTTCGCTCCCGAGGTCGCTGACTGCCACACATCCTTAACCGCCGCCGCTGCCATCACCGCGGCATAACCATTTTGATGGGCTGACGTTTGATCCTGTTGCTTACAGTCTTTCGTTGCTGTTGTTGAGTACGAAGATGTGGTATGACCGGTTGCCTCAGGTGTCGTCGAGTAAAGCTTGCAGGCCGTCGCAACGCTGGCGTCATATGGCGAGTCTTGGGGTGGTCTCGTGTTGGTACCACCACCTGGATGTATCCCTAACGAGGAGGATGTGTGATGATGATGCTGCGTCGATGCATAAGGCGACATACCTAACCCAAGCGGAAAGCTTCGATATGCCGCGGCAGTGGCCGGATCATGATGCTGACTCGCTGCTCCTGTTTGATGATGGTGGCTTCCGTAGAAGCCGCCCGCTGTCTGCTCAAAATACGAGTTCATTACTCCGGGTATCTTGGATCACTTGCACTAAAACACCGGCACTCAAAAAAAAGAATGGCAGCGGAAGGTAGTCGGTGCTAAAATTGCTTGCGATTACATCGAGCGCACGTGGCTAGCCAAAGTTTGCTAGTCCGTGTCCCAGCCCGATGATATCGGATCAGGCTAGCTCGACTCTCTCAGATCGAACGAATGTTAATCAGACCTCTGATCTCGTATCACGTTTTGATTTACAGGGCAAAACATAAATGCCTAAGGAAGCGATACGTTTGTTCGGCGCGGACGGCGATAGGTGAAAACGTTGACAAGGGACGAATAAACGAGCATTAAACCGCTTTAAGAGGCCATAAAAGTCATCGGTAGGTATAGCCGGTTACACCCAGAGTGTCAATGTCAGTAGGCCGTAAGAGTGTAATTCAGAATGGGTCTCATGGTTGGTGGCGGGGGCTTTTATGGTCTTGTTATGGTTACCGCTACGGGCGAAAGCATAAACCGGTGGTCTGGACTGTGAAAACAGGCGATGATCGTTAAACCGTTACGATGCAATAAACCGAGGTAATAAGACGAGCTATAAAACTGCCTGTGGATCTCTCTGCCGCGTGCGCGCCCGGCGACGATTCGGTCAGCCGGCACGCGACAACCACCCTCGCAGACGGCTTTTTCTTTTTCTTTTAAAATTATACAATTCGCGATCGGTCAGGTTGTCAGAGTGGCTTGCTTCGAGAAGCCAGTCAATCTCTTACGAAATCAAGAGGGACTTGGCCAGTCCGCACTGCACTAGCACTTGTCGTATTGCGACTTCGTTGATGACTGTGAGAGGTCCGGTATGAGTCGGAGTACGATGGGGATCGTAACGAACCACGGTATGCCAGTGCGGTGGTCCACGGCACACTACCGCTTTTCTCGCGCCCCGTGTACCGCCACTCTGTACGCGCCGTCCGTCTCTTGCTCGCTCGTTCACCTCGTTTTGTCTCTCTTCTTCGTAGTCGACCTCTCTCCCGAATTTCCTTCTCCGTTCCACTAGCCGTCGTCCCTCCTCACACTCTCTCATTCGCTCTCGCTCGCTCGCTCGCTCCCTCTGTCACAGTCACTCCTTGTCATTCGTGCGATTGTTGCTTCTCACTCGCACGTACTCTTCCTCGGGAGTACTGCCGTCCTGACGGAGATCGCCAGAGGTATGTCCCTCCTCGTCTCTCATATACCATCCCCCTCCTGGTACGATAACCGAGTTCTCTCGCTCTGTCTATCGTCGTTGTTGTCCCCCTCTTCCACCCCCAATGTTCCCCCCACAATTGCTCTCTCACCCTCTGCTTCTGTCTCGCTCCACCTCTCGACGATGTTCGTTCTCTCCCTCCCACTCGATCTATTCTCTGCCTCTTTCTCCCGATACGATTCCTCAGCGCCCCCTATCGAGCGTTCCAGTAACTCAACGACGTGCCGCCAGATTAAATTCGTACTCGCTCGCCGTGCGCGTCACATTCAAGGCGCGTGAGCAGATAAAACGGTGTGAAAAAGAAAGAGAAAATAATTGTTCGTCATGATACGAAGAAAGGAAAGAGGTGAGATGGAAAATAGAGAGAGAGAAAGACGAGAAGATGCGGAGGCACGAGCAGGAACGGAAAAGAAGGTGAAAGAGAGAAAGGTAAAGAGTGAAAGAGAGAACGCTATGTGCAATTGTAGCAGCTAAGAGTGAGACGAAACGGCCGAGTGTGTTGAGATAGCAGCGAAGAGGGAGAACGGGTCGCTAAGGGAGGAGGTTATGCTTAAGGACCAATCAGAATTGAATTCGTCACGAATACCGCTCTGGTATGGCATGAAAGTTCCTACGCCGTGCAAAAGTAGTTCCAAGTCGGAACGACGCCCATGAGCGGCTAGGCACCGCCCCGCGGACCCCCACCATCCAACCCGAGACTACTGTGGGTATAAGCACGTTGTCCATACAGAAAGAGAAGAAGAGCGAGAGAGAGTGAGAGGGTGGGAGCAGGGGGAGAGGGCAGGGAGAGGGGTGCACAGAGAAAGAGTGAGCGAGAGAGTGGGAGATGGATAGAGAGGGAGAACAGCACGGCACGCGCGTCACGCAATGTTTCTACCTTCTCTGTCGCTCCTTCGCGTTGGTTCGTGGGGATACGTGCACCGCCACCTCTGAAATCCGTCGCGAACTAACTTCGCCAGATCCATTCAGACGTTCAAACGACCAACATCAACGAGCTACCTTGCGATTAACCGTAATAATCTTTCGTTATTGCCAAAACGGTGCCGTAAAGCCATTATGATGTAGAATAACCTGATCGACAAGTGATATCACAAATAGAAAACAAGTATAAGAGCAAAATGAGATAGCGGAACACTTCGATTATTTTAGATCACACTAGGCCCGACCGGTCCGACGTCAAGAATATTTGATGACGTGAGCGTGAATACGAATGGCAAGAATGTTATCGTAAACGCCTTTACGAGGCGCACCGGTGTTTTACGGACCAATTAGACAACGTTCGCACAATTAAAAAGTCGTAAAAGTGGACTCCGCGAGGCAGTAGTCGAGCGGGCAACTTCACGGCGCGCGCCACACTAGTATCGGGAGTGTTTATTGGGATGTAAATGTCGCTGGATTATCGCCCCCGCGGTTCGCACCTCGTAAATTATTCCATAACGAGCCGAGTAATGCCCATCATAAGCTGTTCTCTGGGGCCAACCCTAGCTATTTGCTTGCTCGCTCTTGCTTCGCTCTTGTCATTATGAATGCCTAGGTATTAGCTACCTACTTTGCGCTTAAGGATATATAGAAGTGAAGGACGATTGATTTTTTTCTCCAAATAAGAATCGAATTGTACACAATACGAAGTGTATAAGTGCCTAACCTAACCTAAAATTGAACAATTGAAAAACAAAATAAACACTTTAAACAAAAGAACTAAGAGTTTTTTAAATAAAATAACATTTCTAACAATATGCTCACAAATATTAACAATATATTATAATATTGGCAAAATAAATAATGATAATAATAACAATAATTATAAGATATATTTTAAGTATTAAAAAATATATATATCATAGAATAATGTCATTACATACTAATTACATAAAAGTAATTACATAAAAGTAATTACATAAAAGTAATTATAATATAATGCCTCTTTAATATAATTTTTATAATTATACAAAGAACAATATAGAGCTAAATATAAGTATAATAACATAATTTGTAACTTGTTCTATATCTTCTGTATATATGTCCAACATCCATAGTTGTAAAGCCTTCATAAATCATAAAGAGTCCACTTATTAAGCTCTTAATTTGATGGCGCTATTGACAAAAAGACTTGATGTAGTTTTCGCTTTTGCGAGACTCCGACAGGTGGCAGTCTGTATGCTTGAAAATCATGATGGCAATAAACTTCGGTTTTATGACCACTTGAACAGAATCGTAAAAGTCAGGGCCTTTAAGCTTATAGCGTAGTACGGCGCGTGTCGGATATGGTGGGGGCGTGAAGAATCCATCGTGTGGATGAAGAAGGTGTAACAGGCTATGTGGGTACCCAAAAATGGGCCTAAGTACCTTTTCAAGATGCTATTTACAATTGGTTGCCCTTCAGAAAACATTTATTCAGTGTATCGTTTCAATCAACTAAACTTGATGGATTTACTAACAAATGAATTTAATTAAGTATTTATTGTCCATATATTTTTAATGTGTGATGTTTACTACAATAATAAGGTATATTAATTTCATATTTTACACTATTATATGTAAATGCTCGATATTTTTGTTACATAAATTATCTCAAAGATTGTGTCAAATTAACTGTCGAAATTTTTATTTCAGGTACCTATGTGATATACATATGTATGGGAAACTAGGAGCAAATGCTGTGAGAAAATGTTTGTATACATAGATATCATCTCAAACTATCGGCGTAAATTGATATGAGTGATAGACGTCCACTCTGTGGATCTCAAATAAAACCAAAGCAAAGAAGTGAGGTAGCTTTAGAAGGGGGGATTAGGGGGCGTAGCTATAGCAACGAGAAGGAGAACACGAAAGCGAAGAGGCCATTGCACCCGAGTCGTGCAAATCTGAACTCTTGCTAAACCAGCATCCATTCTTCATCGCTCTGGTGGCTTTGGCTCCTCTGGTTTCCTCTACATTCTACGTAGTTCAACGCACTGCTTGGACCCTCGTTTTGGTTAGACTTTCTTCCTTCTTCTCTATTAGCTTCACTCCTTGTTTCGTACATTTCTATTTGCTTATTTTAACGTCTTGCAATTAAGGATCTGAAGATGTGCCGATATTCGCGTGCAAAGTTCAAGTTGGAACGAATTCGACTATCACTGTAGAATCTGATACAAGATCAGGTGTTTAAGATGTATGGGTAATTTAATTGCTTTTGTCCACTTAAGACTTTCTGAGCTTACCCGAATTCTATAAGATTACTTCAGACTAATCAGTTACCCACATATCATATAATAATTTAAATAAATCCGAATAATCTAACTATATTTGTACAGCAAGGTTAATTTCTGCTACCATAAGTTTTATCTCAAATATACTAAGATATTTTAGTTAAAAAGAAAGAGATTTTGCAAATCTCCAGAAATTAAATAACAACCTAATAACATAACCCTGATCAAATCTAATCTGATCTAATCAGTGTTTAACAAGTAGTTTTAATATAATCTTTGATAATTTTTCATCTAATATAAAAATAATAAAACAAAGTTAATAATTTGTGCATTGGACTATTTCCTATCTAATAATATACTATCTAATAATATACAGAGGAGGTAAAGAAGCTGAACGACTAAAAACTTTTATGTATGCAAAAGTTTTCAGGTCACTAAAAACAGTCAAGAATCGCTGCAAGTTTTTAAAATAATTCCTTTTAATATTATTCAGAGTATCGGGTCGAGTATCGATACTCGGATCGAGTATAATCATGGTTAAGATATAAAATGCAAATGTCAGAAAATATGTACATGCGTGTGGTGTGTGAAGTGGTAAAGTGAATGATATTTTGAATTCCTCTAAATAGTCTTAGCGGAACGTGCGAAATTTATTATAAATAGTAATTCTAGTATAAATATTTCACTCTTCATTAAATATTTCACTCAAAGTTTTCAGTTTAAACAGGTATTAAGTTTATTGATTGGCAGCGCATTAGGAGAAACGCTAGGATCAAGCACGAAGGACTCGGAAGATATTTCCTTTGCCATCTGGCGGTCTTCCGTAGTATTATCTGAATGCAAAGCTCGCGTGAAACAGTTTGTAGTTCTCGCGGTCGATACGAGTTTTACAATAATGCGTCAGTACATAAAAGTTGCACAAAATTACATTACGTATATATTTATAGTTACTTTTTTATTCTAAATTTAAAGTTTGAGTGTTTTTAATACGCGATAAACAACGAAGCAACAGGAAAAAACGAAATAGTCGCCGCTGTCAATTTTTGTATCACGGTTCTGCGCTTATAAATTACAAAGTGACACGTTATTCATTTAGTTCAGAACAAAACAATATGATTAAGAGCACCAGTGTTTTTGAATATGGAAGGTTGATGATGATCGAAACGCGCATAAACGAGTTTCTCGCCGGGCAAAAAGAACAGCTGAGAAACTTTTAAGAACAAAAAAGATTGATAATAAGAACGCGCGAGGACAGCTCCTACGTCCCAGTAGTAATTGACGGCCAATTTATTTAATACGTGTTCAAGACTCGTTAAGTTTTAGAGTGACCTACCTTACCGGTTGAGAAACTCGTCCTGCAGGCAGGGCAGACGTTAAGGGATAGACGTTAGTACGTCGCGACAATACATTTGTCCGCAGCTGCCGTAGATAACATCGGATAAAATTTCGGGATTGCTACTTCAGCTTCGTGTTTAATAGCCTAATTGAAATCATTTCACTTTGCGTGGAGGCTTAATTACATGTCTAAGCAATCGATCGTCGCCAACGAAAAAAAAATAGAGAATGTGTTGAGTGAAATATTTTACGCAGCACTAACGAACCTTATCAAAAGCAATTTTAAATAAAGTGTAATTATGATTTATACGGAAATTAAAATATGTTAATGATTATGTTTTTAGACATCTTTTATCTTTTATCATACTGAATGTATATATATATATGAAGTAATTCCAAATAGCACAGAGAATTTAAAAAGAATTCAGTCGTATGCCACCAATTCTGAGTTTATTTTTAAAAAAATAATTCTTTTCACTGAACTGAACTCTGAAGAATTCT